AGTCTGATCTAGTAGTGAGACCCTGAACACCCTCCTGTAGACCCTTCCCTAAAAATAAAGATAAAAATAAGTCACATATATAATAAGTTTTATTCTACATGAATAGACATACACACATATAATGGCTAAAAGTTAGATTACAAGTTGACTCATTTTCTGAATACTTTCTATCAATATACATACATTGCTCTAATAATTGGAAAATTAGGCTGGGCATGGCCTGTACATAGTACAATCCCTTAAGACTGTATTGACATCTGTATAGTTAGTGGCCATAGTGCTTCTTTCTTTTTTAAAAACATCTTTTATATATTTATTTGGTCCAGGATCTCACTATGCAGCTCAGACTTGGAGTGATCCTTCTGTCTCAGCCTCCTTATGCTGGAATTATAGGCATGTGCCACCAGTACTGGTTTTGGTGACCAGTATGGCATGTGGTACTAGGGAATGAACCCAGATGTTTGCACTTGCCAGGTAGGCACTTAAGACCACTGAGCTATCTTCCCAGCCCCACACTGCCTCTTTCATTCCTGGAATAAGTAATTGTTTTGAGACACGGCCTTGGCCAGTGAATTTGTAGAAATTCTTCCTGTCTCAATATCCCAATACTGGGATTATAGGCACATGCCACCATGCTGGGCCTAGTAATTTTAATTGCTTTTTACAAGTTTAAGTTACTTGCTTTTTCTAGTTTCTTGAGATAGAAATTTAAAATTATAAAGTTGAGGCCTTTCTTCCTAGTAAATACACATTTCCCTTTCAGCACTGATATATATTAAGTCTCCTGACAAGTATCTCCTATTGGACTTTCAGTTTAATAAACTAATTTTTACATAATCATTTACAAAGACAGTATTTAATAGCAATATTCAATTGTTTCTGATAAGTTGTTTTTCCAATTCTGAAACAATATTCAGACAGACAAATTATCAACTTTTCACATTTCAGGCTTACTAGTACTTGAGTATTAAATGCTTGGAATCATTATGAAAAAGTACAAAACATTTGGACTAGAAGGGTAGCTCAGTGGTAAAGCACTTGTTTAGCATGCACAATGCTCTGGGTTTGATCCCTAGCACAGCAACACAAAATAAAACAAACAAACAAACAAACAAACAAACAAACAGTTTTTACCTGAAATTTAAGCTTGCTTTCCCCTCCTTCCCGGTCTCGCTTATGCATATTCACCATTAAGGCTTCATAACAATTCTTCCAATAAAGTGCCATGTTCTCATGACCATCATAAAATGTATTAGTTTCATATTGCTTCATATAAGGAATAATCTTATTTAAAAAAGAATATACAATATTTGGTATACATATCTATTAAAATCATAAGTCAGTAGAAGAATCTTATTCAAAAAAGATAAAACTTACATATTTTTCTATGTAAACTTGCCATTCATTTGAACTGCAATATTCTTGAAAATCTTCAAAAAATGAGGAGCTACCATTGGTAAAAGGTAAAGAAGGCAGGTGCAAGTTCATGAAGAGAAGTTCATAAATTTTGGACACCAGAGTACGGATAAGGGGAATCAGAAATGAGTAGGTTTCAGTCTGCTCTTTGATTGAATGACTGAGAACATGTTCCAGCTTCCCTAAAATATAACAGGCTTCCTCCTGGCTTTCAATCACTTTGGTCTGAAGAAGTGTATTTAGCTTGGCTGATGCCACTGCACAAATCTAGAAGAAAACAGATGGAATAGTGTGAGGCAGAATTTAATGACAGCAAAGGCTTTAACTTGCTCTGCAAGGTCAGAATTTGTGTATATTGGGCTGGCCAAATAGCTCAGTGGACTAAAGTGGCTGCTTAGGCAGATGCAGAGGCCAGGGTTCAATCCCTGGCTTGCTGAGCTGACCTCATTCCGGGGGCATGCTGAGACCAAGAATGAGACTGTGTATGGCGGCGCACCCCTGTCATCCCAGGTCTTTGGGAGACAGAACACAGGCGGATCACTACAAGTCCAATCTATGTAGTAAGATCCTGCAGACCCTTACTAAAAAAAAAAAAAAAAATGTGTATGTTAACAGTCAAGAATGATGAATTGTCTCAGATCTTACTTCATTTCTAAGCTAACAAATTAGCATGCCATATTTTCACAGATCTCTGCATAGAACATGAGACTCTTTGGCCAGGGACAAAAGATCGACAGCAACAGTAATAACAACAGTATCAGGATTTGGATTGGTTCCCAAACTGCAATTCTCACGGTAAGAAATGAAGACTAGATGATACCAACTCATGTAGTACTTGCTTGGGGAGGACCACCAAGCATGTAGAGTCTGAACCTTTTATCTGGGCTGAAAGCTTGTCTGGCATGTCAGAATCTAATTTCCAAAGCTGTTCACTATATAAGCATCCAAACAAAGGCATCTGACCCTCATACACGGAAGCGCAAGAGACTCATGGAGGGCTCCTACCATTAATAACTGTAGAAAGAAAGAATACTTTTTCTCTGTATATGAATGAGGTAGCACAGAGGCCCAATTATTACTGGTAGCCATTCTTTTTTTGGCGGAGCCAGGGACTGAATTCAGACCCTTGTGCTTGCCAGATAAGTGCTTATTCTACTTAGCCATCTCCCTGGCCCCATTGGTAGCCATTCTGTGTCGATAAAGGAAGCCAATTTAAGACAAGAGCAGTGCTGGGTGAACAGCAATTAAGCTGAATCAGAAGCTTGAACAAATCCTACTTTAATTTCTCTTTACTAAAAGATTCTCAGTTTGTGTATTTGGTATAGGGTCTCACTATACAGATCAGTCTCGTGTGGTGATCCTCCACTTTTCAGCCTCCCCAGCACTGGGATGACAGGCATATGCCACCATGCCCAGACTCTGTCACCTGCTGAACACACCCCAGGGGGTAGGGCTGGTGCTTGCCAAAGCAGGAGCTTAGTCCACTGAGCTACCTCGTCGGTCCCAGGTCTAAGCTCTTAATCAAAACCTAATTACCCTTAAAATTCCCAAGGAAAATAGATACCAAAGCACAAGCCCAGGCAAAAGAATAATCTAGATTACTATTAAGGGTTTGCCATAAGAACCAATGTGGAAAAACAAATTAGGTCATTGAAAGTACTCATTTTCTTTAGGCTACAGGAAGATCTAAGCCTTACAAACCAAGAAAGAGAAAACTACAATATTTTATCTACTTCTCTCATTCTTTGTTCTGATTTTGGAAATAATTATTTCCCATAATGAAGAAAAGCAAAGTAAACTCAATTATTAGAACTTAACACCACTTTAAAAAGGTGGCTTAAATCAAGAGTTGGTCTTGGCTATATGAACAAGTTTCTGCAGGCAAAAGAAACAACAAAATCTTTAACAGAGCAAACAGCACAGGAGGAAATAATCCCTAACATGGTCCACAGCTTTAACTTCTCTAGTAGAAAGTGAGGCTTTTCAATGATCCTGATTTTGGCAGAGAAGATAGCTCTGTAGAATAAGCACTTGCCTGACAAGCACAAGGGCCTGAGTTCAATCCCTGGTTGGGGGGGGGGGAGTTGTAAGAAATTAAAAAAAAAAAAAAGAATATCAATGATCATGATTTCCCACATGCTAATACCTAGGCTTATTTGCTATGTGTTTGAAAAAAGAGTATTTACTTTCAAAGATGAAGCCAGATGCAGTATGGCATACCTGTGATGATTACAGCTACTTGGAAGGGTAATAAATAGCAAGCTCAAACTTAAGCCTAGGCTACCTAGTGAGACTGTCTCAAAATAACATTTAAAAAAATGTTGAATATATTGCTTTGATTTGAATATCATATTAAATACAATCTAAGTTTCTACATTTATTTTAAAAAGCTACTACTGAGCCGGCCAAATAGCTCAGTGGATTAAAGCGCCTGCAAGCAGGCACAGGGGCTAGAGGTTTGATTCCTGGGCCTGCTGTGTTGGCCCCACCTCTGAGGCATGCTGAGCTGGCAACGGAGACTGTGCGTGGTGGTGAGCACCTGTAATCCCAGTTCTTGGGAGGCTGTAAACAGGTGGATCACTATGAGTCGGACCTAGTAGTGAGACCCTGAACACCCTGTAGACCCTTCCCTAAAAACAAAACAAAACGGAAAAACCCAACAAAAAAACCCCTACTACTTTTAATAAATACACCATACTTTACTTGACCACTGCCTTATTTTTGGGTATATACATTTATTTCTTCCCAAAACTCACTTACCCTCCATTATAGAATAATGCATTAGGGTCACCTGAGGAATTAAAAACAATACTGCTTCCCAACCTTCCCCCGCATCTGAATGAACTATGAATCTTATGGTTTAAATCAAGAATGCATGCTCAAGGTCTCATGAGCTCACAGGTGGGGCTTATGGAGGGAGGGTGGTTGACTTGCTGCTGGGAGTTGGAGGGAAGCAAGTGACTGGGCACATAAACTGAAGGGTTCATCTCCCTCCTTTGCTCCTTGCTCTCTGCTTCCTGGCCACCATGACCTGAGTAGATTCCCTTTACTGGTCCATTCTACCATGTACTTGCAGTCTTGGAGCCAGACAACCATGAACTGAAAATATGAATCAAAATAAACCTCTCCTCTTTAAGGTTGTGTGCTGAGTATTTTGTCCCATTGAAGAGAAAAGTGATACCTTATTTAGGTAATTTTTTTTTTTAGAGGTCCCTTGGCGATTGCATGTGCAGCCCAGAATGATAATCACTGGCTGAGATGCGAAAACTGGGAGGAATAGGAAATGTAACCCACTGCAGGTGACATGTGCATCTAAATCAATCAAAACCCTCATAATTTTAATTTTCCTACAGGCTAAGAAATCTTGGCTTTTCATGTGAAACCTACTAAACCCTGAATAACTGGCAATTAGTATACATGGGCCAAACCAAAGCTGTGGCACCTTCATTTTCCATCTTT